CTGCCTCACCACCTTTAAGGATTTAGTCAAATGTCCCCCTTTCGGTGGGGCCCACCTCCAGCACCTTATTTAAAACCGCAGACTCCCTTTTCCGTCTACACTCTGGATTCCCTTTACCTGCTCTATTTTCTTATTCCCCATAACACTTACCACCTTATAAAATAGAACACAGTTTGATTATTACTTATTGGCTATCTCCCTCTGTTAGAATGTAGTTCACAGGAGAGCAATTTTAGACACTGAGTTAGCCCACATACTGAGAACACGGACACTTCAGGATCTCAATAAATATTTGACGAGTGAATGGATGAATAGTTTCCATCATATTTGTTGTCTTAAATTTAAGTACAAAACTGACACAAGACTTCACAGATGCCACTGTCACTACTCCTCCACCATAAATGTAAGGTTCCATCACCTGTGGAGTTGACGTGAGTCCTGCCTGGCACCGCCTTAGTTGAGGCCCTTTAATTGCTTCCAGAATGGTTCTTCCTTCACATGGTTGTCAATTATTTGTGAAAAGCACAAACCTAATAAGATCACTCCATTGCCTAAAAACATCTATTTACCTCAGAAAATAAAGTCTTTACTCTCTAGTTCTACATTGGTGCCCCATAATCTGACCTCGATCTAACTTATATAAGATTCATTTTCCACCTTTCCTTATAAATCCCATGATCTTGCTACGCTCGAACATGCATTTATTTTCATTTTTGCACGTGCTACCCTCTGATTTAAATACTCCACACTTTTTTCACCTTGGCAAATACTATGTCTTTTAGCACCCAAGGCAAATGCCACGTTTCCGAAACCGCCTTCTCCAGTGCCCCGGGGGGAGCATTGGCTCCTTCCCGTGCTTCCAAAGCACGTTCCACACACACCCACTCAAGCACTTAGCACCTGAATTAAAAAGTGTTTATGTCTGCGCTGATCTCCCCACTACTCCGCAGGTTCCTCGCTGTGATTCATCTTTCCACTTAGTTCCTTCCAAACTCACCATGCCGCTGGGATAGAGCATGACGTGCACACAGCATTAAATCCGTTTTGAGAGACTGTAGCCCCTTCCCACCGGGAAGCCAGAGGGCCACCTCAGTCCTTGTCCCCCACTCGAGCTGGTCCCTGACCACACGCGGGCCTGGGCAGAAGCAGCAGGTCTGGCTGTCTGGACGAGGGCTTGCTTTGTTCAGTTAGTTATGTGGGCGTCTGAACCTTGGCAGTGACCGGGCCGGCTGGCTCATCAGGCTACCTGTGTCCGACGCAGAGCGCACGCGGCTGGAAGCGGCGGGACAGCCGGCCAGAGGGAGATGTGTGGCAGCGGCCGCGGCGGGGCCAGGGCCCTACCCGCGCACCCAGACGACGACACCGGCGTCAAGAGCACCCCAAGGCCCAGGGCGCCGCACGGCCGCTTCCGCCCACACGCACCGCGCCCCCCGAGCAGAGCTGCCGCCCCGGGC